ATCTATCTCTCTTTGCTCCTCTCCTCAGCTACACGCTGGGGAGCTGCGGCGTTGTCAGCTTGCCTGGGTCATTTGAAGGTTAGCAGGCTGAGAGAGGTTCACACAAAGTTCACTGGCATATATTAGGCTATTCAATCTTTCATCCTCTGCCAAAACTAGTTGGAAATAAGCAGACGAGGAGTAGGCGGAGTATCGGCAAGGTATCGGCGAAGATGGGGAACACGTGCTTTAAAAAAAAGAGTCCGGGTAATTATATTGGATTTTTGAATCGATCATAACGCTGCGACGTGTGTCGACGATAGAGACGCACCGGGTTTCAGTGCCCACACATGGATGATGTGAGTTTTTTTTTTTTTTTTTTACCCAGGCAGACTCCGGATCAGTTCTCATCCAGCAGTGCACCAGGTGGACTTCGGGTCGAAAGGAATTGAATTTTGCTCGCAAATATTTCTTAGTTTTTGGTCAGAAATAATTAATGAGTCTCGTGCGGGACGAATGCGGAGAATGAGATCCGCCGCGTCAAGAAGAAGATGAAGAAAAAGGAAAGGGAGAGGAGGAGGAGGAGGAGGATTGAGGAAGAATAAAGGACTTTTGATAGAGTTTTTTTTCCGGCTTCTAAATTATTTTACACGCAGCACTAGTTGAGCAACCGTTATGTTCGACTGCATGAACGTGCTGGCCGTCAGCACCGGGCAGATGCTGGACTTCTACAAGGCCGCTCCGTCCTCCTGTATGCTGCAGGAGAAGGCACTGAAAGCCTGCATCCACGGACTGACGCATCGAGAGTGGAATCAGATACGGAGCGCACAATGTAGGTACAACTTCTGATCACCTTCTTCTTGTGCTTTCTCATATTGCACGCACAGCAGCCCCGGGTAATGATCATAATGATAAGTATTATTATTATAATGGTGTTGACGGCCATGCTACAAGGGACATTTACAAGCAATGCAGGAGTAAAAATTAAAAATGTATATATATATATATAAATATATATATATATATATATATATGTTTCTGTATTTTATATTATGTACTTGCCATTGGAG